GGGCGCCCAGGACCTGGCCTTGTGGTCTGTACTGAGCACCCAGGACCTGGCCTTGTGGTCTATACTGAGCACCCAGGGCCTGGCCTTGTGGCCTGTACGGGGCGCCCAGGACCTGGGTGCTGTTGTCTCTTCTTTCATAGGCAGACGTCATTACAGAGTCAGCAGCTACAACATGGACCTGGGATGTGTTTTTAAAAATTGAAAATTAGGCTGGAGTGATCTTAGTCCACAAAGCACTTACCACACAAACGTGAAGACTGAGGTTTAATCCTGGGAATTCACATTGAGAAACCAGGCATGGTGGTGGAGTCTGTAATCCCAGCACTAGGGAAGTGGAGCTGAAAAGTCCCTGGGACTTGCTGACCAGCCCACTTAGCCTCATCGGTGAACCCGGGGTCCCTGAGAGGGGCACTATTCCAAAACAAGGTACATGGCTTCAGTTGACCTCCGTCCTCCACATGTGTGCATACACGCAACACAGACATATGCATACACGCAAATTCATACATACCTAATAAATGCATAGATTACTACAGGCAAGGAGGAAAAGCCTACCATAACCCAAAGGATTAAACAGTGTCATGGAGCTGAGGGTGCAGCCACAAGATGCACCTGGCCCTCCACTTCTTATCTATTCAGTGAGAGGGTAGAATTGATTCCCGACATTCAGTGGAGGGGACCCAAGGCAGGCCACAAGGCTCTTTTTTGTTCCCACTAGGTAAGTGGGGGGCTAGGCGGTGAACAGGGTTTTTTGTTCTTGGTTTTGGTTTTCCTTAGGCCCGCAGAAACAGTACTTTTTTGCTTTTGCTATGTTGGATTTCAGATAAATTCACATCGAACTGGCAGCTGCCCCTTGTTCTCTGTGTGCTGAGTCCAGGGCACCACTGCGCCGTTTCAAGTTTTACAGGCTGCCCTTTGTACAAGAAGCAACGCTCCAGATCATCCATACTGAGCAACGCTGATGTCTCCCAGCTGAAGGAAGTTAGGGGCTGGGATTCTAGCCCAGTGGAGAAGGCTTACCTAGCATATGGAAGTTCCATCCCCATGCTACAAAAGCCTGGGAGATTTGTCAGTGATGAGTCTATGCAAATGTGCGGCAGAGGCTCTGCAGGGTGAACCGAGCACATTGCATCACAGAAAAAACAATGGAACTGTGTAAACAAAGGCTAAGTGGGCATTTAAGATATTTCCTTCTTCACAATTTTTTTTTAGGTCTGGTGGAATTTTTGAGTGGGGTAAGTCAGTACTAGTGAGATAATAAGTAGAACCATGTGTGGACATGCCTACGGGTGTGTCTTTGTCTTCTGGTGAAAGTCTCAACAACTCAACAACACCTGAGACTTAACGGGACTTCCAAACATGCCCTGGCTGCTGTAGCAGATGGAAGTTGGGGGGTCTGCTGTTACGGGTACCTGGTGGACTATACTAGTCCTTGGGCTTCTTAACGTTCACTTTACTTGTCTCTGACCGGTTTCTAAGGCAGCAGAGATCTCATTTAAGGGAGGATGTGGACGCCCTGCTGGGTGAGAGCATCCTGCACACCAGGCATACTGCTGCACTTGTGCAGTCCTGGCACTGAGCTATGGGTGAGAACATCCTGCACACCAGGCATGCTGCTGCACTTCTGCAGTCCTAGAACTGTGAACTCCAAGGCTCAAAAGTAACAAGTGAATCAGTCTGGGCTTGAGATACTGCTTAGTCATTTGTTTTTGAGACATCGATATGTCGCCCAGACTGACCCTTGAGTTTAAAACAATTCTTCCTTCGTCTCCCAAACGTTAGGAATGCAGGGATGCCACCATGCCTGGCAAGAGTTAAAACTGTGATAGAATGGTGTGGGAGAATTATCTGTATTCTGTCAATCATGTATTTTAATAAAACGCTGATTGGCCAGGCAGGAAGTATAGGTGGGGCAATGAGAACAGGAGAAAGCTAGGAAGGAGGAAGCTCCCTCCGCCATTGCTGCCCAGACCACCGAAGAAGCAACATGTGAGCTGACAGCTGAAAAAGGTACCAAGCCATATGGCTAACATAGATCAGAATAATGGGTTAAGATAAGTCATAAGAACTAATAAGTAGTCTGAGCTAATGGGCCAATCAGCTTTATAACTTATAGAGATCTCTGTGTGATTGATTTTCTCTGGGACTTGCCAGCTGTGGGGTACCAGGCGGGACAGGTACCCCAACAAGCCGGCCCTCATGCTACAATAGAAGGCCACCCAGGCTTTGCACTACACAATTCAAGACACCATTATCCAGAGATGACAGTAACTGTGATGAGCTATAAATGCTGCCACTCACCAAGAACTGCCCAGGAGATCACAAGTTCAAGTCTAGCCTGGGCCACACAAGATCCTGTCTCAACTCAGATTCTAGCCAGGTATGGTAGCATACAAGCACTCAGGAGGCAGGGACGGAAGGATCTCTCGAGTTTGAAGCTAGCCTAGTCTACATAGTGAGTTCTTGGCCAGCCAGACCCTGCCTCAAAAAGCCAAAGATAAACTCATTCTGGAAGAAGGCTGAAAAAAAAAAAAAACATCATGAGCCACAACCGCGAAGCCTAAGACCCAGGAGCATCACCTCACTCTGGGTAGTCTAGTCACCACAGCAAGGCTGATATCTGTTGAGTCTAAAATTTAAAAAGCTATGTTGTTGTTTTTTTGCTTTTGTTTTTTTGTGGTGCTGGGAATTGAACTCAGGGACTTATGCATGCTAGGTAAGTGCTTTGTTACTGAATTATAACTCCCAGCTTTCCCTTGTGTGTGGGTAAACTAAGTTTTATAAGTTTGATATTTTCATTAAATAAGTTCACAATACATCTTCCATTACACCTGCCCCAATTTTAAACCCTGTAGCCACTGCCAAAGAAAGACGGTGTCTATAAAGATGCAGTTTGTGGAGATCCAGGATTGCCGAGGTGCACTATCTTCCATCCTCTAAAGTAAAAGCAACAGGAAGTCATATCCAGTGGCATGCTTGGAACAGATTTATCTTATAAACCGAAGCAGCTGCATGCCACAGAGAGGAAGGAGGCACAGAGCTTTGGAGTTTCTTTTAAACGTCGGCTGCCTTTTAGCTGAGGATTAATCTTGGTTGGTAGAATGCTTGCCTACTGGGTACAAAGTCCTAAGTTCAGCCCCCTAGCACTGTGTAGTGGCATGGTGGTACATGCCTGGAATCCCAGCCCTGGGGAGATAGAGGCGGGAAAATCAGAAATTTAAGATCGTAGCAAGTTCTATGCCAGCTCTCAAGAAAACCTCATGACTGTGTGCATAAGAAATTCCTTGGAGGGGCTGGAGAGACGGCAAAGTTGGTAAAGGACTTGCCACAAGAGCATGGTGCCCTGAGTTCAGACCCCTAGCACCTGCGTGGGAGAAAATGGGGCATGGCAGCACACACGTGTAATCTCAGTGCAGAGGTGGCAGGGACAGAGGGCTCTGGAGGTCCCTGGCGCTGAGTTTCAGATCCACTGAAAGACCCTGCCAAGAACAAAAGGTGGAGAGTAGCTGAGAAGACATCCGCCATCTTGTCATGAGCCACTCACCTCCACACGTGACATCCGCCATCTTGTCAGCTCACCTCCACACGTGACATCTGCCATCTTGTCATGAGCCGCCCACCTCCACACGTGACATCCGCCATCTTGTCACAAGCCGCTCGCCTCCACACATGCACACATAAATAAGTATTGAGAATCCTTGGTTTTACTTAGCTAGTGATGATACTGGGGTAGATACTGGGGCCTTGATAAAGGGGCTGCAGTGTATAGGGACTTACTTTATTGTTGATTTTTTTTCCCCCTTCAGTACCAGAAACTTAACTTAGGGTTTCACACATGTTAGGCAGGCCTACCTCTGAGCTATATTCCCAGTCCAGAAATTCATTTTCTGAGTCTGCCTCTGCTAGAGACAGAATGCAGACTCCAATATCCCATCTCCCCTGCTCGTGTTGATTAAGAAATAGAATGTACCAGAACAAATTTATTGAACTGTCTGTTTAATAGACTGTAGAGGAAAACACCTGTACCCAACAGTGACATTGCCTCTCAAAGACTTCTTTCTACCAAAGAGTCAGGCGTGATAGGCCATAGCTAGCACAGACCTTAGTATAAGCCAGTTCTGTGAGGATCACTGGCATGGTCTGTCTTGGCGTTGGGAAACCCACCTGATGTTCTGTTTTAGGGGCTGGAGAGATGACTTGGTAGAGAACTAGAGTCCTTTTACAGAGGACCAGAGTCTTCAATTCCCAGCACCCATGGATGGCAGCTCTCAACTGCCTGTAACTCCAAGTACAGGGGATCAAGTGCCCTCTTCTTGTCTCTGCAAGTACCCACACATATGTGGCGTTGTTGTGTGACAAAACTTCTCCTGGGGAGACACAACATGCACCTACTTACCCCAGATAGGGAACCCATGACAGACCAAAGTACAGATACCACCAAAGTCCAACATGGTGAACCAAATGAGTTTTAATGGAGTCACTTACAGGAACAGGGGTGTGGGGTCACTTACAGAAGTAGAAATGACTCAGAGGCAGCTGCATCACCAAGGCCCACCCCTGCATGGGTGACAGCTCATAGAAGCTGGGAACCTGGAGCACACTTCCTAGCCTGCAGGCAGTGCAACAGGTTGGAGAGTGTCCTGTCCAAGTGGCTCTGGTCTGAACCTCCTCCAGGCAGCTTGACCTGGCTCTGCTTCTCCCGGGCAGCTCCACTGGTCTCTGCTTCTCCCACACAGGGGTCTGATCTCAGTCTTCTCTGCAGCTCGGCTTGTCTGAGAGGGACTCCCAGCTTTTATTCCTCTGACAGGGAGGGGCCTAGTGCACCTGGTCAGTTTCAGGGACTTCCAGAAGCTGTTTGGGATTGTTTACCTTCCTGTTTAAGGACCTTGCCTATGTAATGGAATATGTCAATCTCAGAGAAAACTGTTACACAATAGGTGAATATTCACACATACGTTATATGTATGATTTGCACTCAGGGCAGAGGTAGGTAGATTTCTGAGTTTGAAGCCTGCTTGGTCCGTGTATCAAGTTCCAGAACAGCCAGGGCCACATAATAAAACCCTGTCTCAAAAGGGGGACGGGGCAGGTAGAGGCTAAAAAGATAGCTCAGCAGTACCTAGCACCCACGTGGTAGCTCACAAACACTGATAC